AAAAGATGACATAATTTCAAATTCATGATGATAGATGAGGCTGCCTTATTAATATCATGTCCTTGTACTAACTACTAAGCCGGCAACCACTTAAATAGTATTCATGTTTCGAGATTACATCATATCTTCACTCTTTCACTGTATAGATCTTCTAAGAGTTATAATCATTGGACGTTGAATTATTTTATATCAGAGTGAGTATACGGAGCTTTCGAGTCCAACAAAAGAGGATTTCTGTGGAATATTTTAATCTATGCCACCAGTGCTGGCCTGTCAATCAAATCGAAAGGCTACAAATAATAATCTCAGTCCCCCGCATTGTTTTATGAATTCGTATTGCAATTAAGATTATTCCAAGGTATTGTCATGTATTTAATTGTTTGTCCTCTCTGTTGGAGAACCCATTAATTTTGGGTATCATATTATGTCATCTTTAATCAGTGGTTTGACTCGTATAATATATAATTATAATATGTAATTAGTCACCTCAGACTGGCTGGAGGGAATTGTATCAGCGCATGTATCACATTGTTTCATCCAGAACGGGAAAAATTATAACAAATAATACCTTCGCTAAGTTATCGTGCCGGGCTCGCCCTCCGCTAAAGCGTCGGGCATTATCGCCCGTATAGTAGTAGCACTCAACAGCCAAGGTAGTATTGTATTATAATTTTTTCTTCCCGCCAGCCAGTCTGAGGAGTGAGGTTACTCTCAGTCTGTCCTCATAATACTCTGGCAACCCTTGCGGAAAATTATCGGTTACCAGTGTCCACGACTTTTCGGGGAAATAATTCCCGGCAAAGATTTAATTATTGAAGGCACAGTTTATATCATATCTCCACAAAAAGCATTGCAATAACTTCTTTCGAATTTCTTATGTTGAATCGAGATCAAATCACTTACACAATCGCTTGGGGTTCTTTTCGAAGAGAATAACAAATTCAAAATTCTCCTGTGTTATTTCACCGTAAAAAACAAAATAATGCGAGTGTCTCGAGAGTGCCTCGAGAGTGATCTTAAACGATTCCTTCATCCTATTTTATAATCTCTAAAATGCACAATAGCATGTTTGAACTGATTAAATTTTAGCCCAAAAATAAGCAACCCTCATTATAATTAAAAAGCGGTCCCCCTGTACAACGCACATTTTGTGCGCTAAATCTTTCAACCCAAAAACCGCGTTATATTAAAGTCACTATTGTGACGGTACATTAGAACTAGACAGAAACAAAGTGTGAAGGGCCTGAACGGAACCCCTCGGTTTAGAGGGAATGTTCACACCATTATAAAGCAATGAAAGGCATTAGTTTATGGAATATTTGGTACATTAAAGTATAACATGAACACAAGTATTGACCGGTCATTGATTTTTTTATATATAGTAAGATTCTGATTTCAGGATGTTACTGAAGATAGTAATGAAAATGTTTTAACACCTTAGAATTGTGTATTACTACAGCTCAACCTGCTCAGTCTGACTAATTGGGAATTTAAATTCTTGATATATAGTAACATGTGTGTGCGTGTCTGTTCCGTTACAGAAATAAATATATTATATAATCAATTGGAGATTATTATTTTGTCATCACATACCAAACTGAAACACCTTATCATTCAACATGTCTTTGGAAATATTATGTTTACTAATGGATATTGGATAAGTATGCCGATGATAGCAAGGAGTTATGTAAATTGTGGTGAACCTTATCAACTGATGGACGTGCCTGAAATGAAATAATGATATAGTAATCCTCACAATACAGGAGTTTACGCGACTAACCACGACACTGTTCCTGTAAACCAGACCGTTTGTGTACACAAGAGATATACACTCCAGGGATCCTGGACCTTCGCAAGGTACGATCAGAAGTGTCTCAAAGTTACTAAAGTTACTAAAGTTACTTAAGTTACTAAAGTTACTAAAGTTACTAAAATTACTAAAGTCACTTAAGTTACTTAAGTTACTAAAGTTACTTAAGTTACTTAAGTTACTAAAGTTACTAAAGTTACTAAAATTACTAAAGTTACTAAAGTTACTAAAGTTACTAAAGTTACTAAAGTTACTAAAGTCACTAAAGTCACTAAAGTTACTTATGGAAGTTACTCATTCAAGAACCAAGTTTCTGTATCTGGCTATCTTGTGTATTTCTTACATAGTTACACTAGAGTTAACACACTGTAATATGTTTTACTGAGTGACCTGCGTGACACAGGACTGATAAGAGATTAGAGAGCACGCTTTGGAAGGCAGCTGGATCTGGTATCCCTCTCAGCTCCTTTACTTACACATCCTCTATCTACCTGCAACCTGAGGGGAAACCTCCTTTACTGGACACACTACAAGTTAATATTGTGGAGCCCAACACTGTGAGTTTATACAGGTTCAACTGTTAGTTTATACAGGTTCAACTGTTAGTTTATACAGTTAATGATATCTCGTAACATACAAATAATGTGGATACTGGCTATAACATGACTAATTTTGTACTCTCAAGTTGAACGGTAAGGTTCTTGAAGTGTTAGCTTACTGTCCCTTACTTCTCAAATTATTCAAGGAACGCTCTGTTAGCTACAGAATAACAGGGATAAGGTTCGCGGAGTCAGCAAGTATTGTGGACTCTTATCAGAACACAAAACATCAGTCATCTACAAGCCCTGTTACGTAAGTAAATCTGTAGACCCATGGAGACTGTAGGGATGCTTGAAGGGATGCTTGCTGGTAGTTTTTAACTTTCTTAAACGCTTTTAGATTTTTATAGGTACCAACTTATAGAGGTGACATGATTTCTTAATGCAAATTAATGAAATTTACCCCAATTTGTCTGGCGTTCCAATATTTTCCCGGTTATTCTACTTAAAATAAACGCACTAATTGAAAAATACTTTTTAGAGTGACAGTGACGTCTATGTGGACAGTTGATCTAGAAACAGAACCAGATAATCCGGTAAAAATATATATTGACGTGATAACAGGTGCGGCTCGCAAGGTTGGAGATGTGATTGAGGCAGCAGCTAAACAGGTTAATATTAGGATATTACATTTTTAAGTTGATCTGTCGTCACACGAAATATTTCATCGTTAGTCATGTCACTCTTTTTTCGTATCAAATACTCAAATAGGGTTAACCGTTTGATTTGATATAAGAGTTATGAAACACAGAAGATATCAATTCAGGAACCGTGAGCTATAGCACATTATTTCAGGCCACATCTCTACAACGCTACACCACTTTCCTGCACACGTACTCCACATTAGAGATACCACCAGAGCAAGCAGGGATAACCGAGCAGTGGGTTGATATCAGGTTCACTGGTCAGGTGTCCCTTATCACTAAGGGTAGGGTGACCTCTACTAAAACTACATCTGGCATGTTGAATATTATCATTTCTCAAGACTAGCACCTAGTGTCACTAACTGGGACGGAATATTAGTAGTTAATAGTTTATATTATTATTAGTTAGTTATGCTACCTTGGTAGTATAGATCGTGGTACTCGCGTATAATTGTAATTATTAGGTCCACTTCCCTGAAAGTTAAGAGGTGAAATGAAGCAGCCTGGAAGTAGTTACTGAGGGATGGTTCAAATATTGTCATTATACTACAACTTAACCCACGAAGGGGTCGAGTTTCACAATTCTAAGAACGGTCCTGAACTTGCTGACTTAAAATATGTAGCCGGAGACGGTGTTCATCTTTGATGTCGGCCAAGCTGTGAAACCTCTGTTTCACAAGCTGATCCTGATCTTTATTAAGTAGGTTTCTACGAAGAGCAAAGAAGGCAAGATTAACATAATATATCTTTATTCTCAGAGTACAATCAGCTCTGTTTGATCTTCCCTAATAGATTGTAATTTATACCAGGGTCCAGACACAAGCTATCTAACAGACATGCTCCACCTGTTTGAGCTTTACCATTCTCGGCTTCTCTCAAACCACCCAGTATATACTACAGCTTGGAGAGATTGCACCATTTACCTTTGTAATTGTGTACGTCAGCATAGTCAGTATAGTTAGAGGGTGCACCAACTTTGATTAAAACATGTTTTATTTTCAAGTCTATATAAAATGCTAAAAGTTAAATGGTGTCGTCCCCTTAAAACGGGGCTCTCAGACTGCCAATGCTAATAAAGCACCTTTATAGTCCATTAAGAACTACCGGTTCATTTGACTTTGAAGTTATTCTAGAGAAATTAATTCGGGACTACTTTAAATACCAAACCATTCCGGACTGTTTCATTCAAAGTTATTTCACGATAATGTTTTAATGGACTGATATTTCCGCCCTATAGCACCTATTATACCGTACATCTACTGTCTCTTGATGCACCTTTGATATCCAAGTGAAAGTGCGTGTGAACAGTAAGTTCTCTTCAAACCATGACATAATAACTTTTCGATCATGGCCCAGGACTATATTTCAATTATGATCCGATTATGAGCATGCATAATACCGTTGTAATGAGTATTGGTTTGAGCATGACTTATGAATCTACGGTTATTTGAACAATTTGTCGTTTTAGCAGACCATGATATTTCAGTGTTTCGCAGTACTGTAAAGTGTAAGCTAGGAAACGATGTGACTACAAACAGATTGTTATAAAATAAACAAATAAATCCTCAGCAACATACATAATTTGAAAATAAGATCACACATAAATAGCAACAATACAAAACACAAAACCAATTCCTCATCACCACAATACCACCGATTCAGTTACTTTTAAGTTAAAGATAAATAATTAATATTGGAATAATAGTGTTTTAAACTAATTACAACACTGCAAATCCATTACATTTATTAAGTATTATGTAACGCGATGGAAATATTTTAAGCGGGTAACATCCTATCCAAACCCAGGATACATAACATGAAGACTATAATAAATTCACAGCGATATTTAGGACCAAAATCTCACCGAGAGATGATCACTTACATTGAAACTTAACTTTCCAAATGTAAAGAGCCCTAGCGATGGGTTTTGGTAGCGCAAATATAGGGTTACATCTAAAATAATAAATAAATGGGTTAACACATGAATTAAGGGTGAACAGTAGAGTTGAAAATAACAGTGAAATATAGATATACGTACTCAACATTTGGTCCGACATGTTAGTAACAGAAGCACTTTGTGGAAGAGCATTGAAAGTATTGAGGAGTTCATAGACATTCATTAGAATGCCAGGTAGCAAGCAGAGGATGTAAAGAGTAATAATCACCGTCACGATATTGTTCTTATCCGTATTCCTCCCAGCCCTCCGTTTAGCTGCAATCCTCCTCGTCCCGGCTGAAACCCGAACCTTCTGACTTGTTGGGATCCTCTTCATCCTGGTCAGGATCCGCCCTAGTCTGCGAGAAGATCTATGGGATCTAACGGAGAGTTTCTTTGACTTGGGAGCGAGCACGCTGACAGGTTGGTGCAGCTCCAGGTTAATGCCAGGTTTAGGACGTCCAGCGTACTGAGCCAGTCTGCTGACTACTGCCAGACAGAATCCAACTGTGACACAAAAGGGGAGAAGTACTGACACGTTACTTACAATGTAGATAACGTTCTGCTCGTGACCGGAGGTGACGAGGGGGGTGGACACGTAGAAGCCCAGGATATCGTAGTAGAAGAAGTGGGCTCCCCTGAAGATGGTTGTCTTGGGTAAATTGCTATTGATTCCGTTTGATGCGAAAAGAAAAAGGCTCTTATCAGGAAAACATTTCAACTATGTGACTCATAAATAACATTCCAATCCGGAATTTACCTGAAGAAGGGGTAGGTGTTGCTAACAACAGGTATTTACCTGAAGAAGGGGTAGGTGTTGCTAACAACAGGTGTTTACCTGAAGAAGGGGTAGGTGTTGCTAACAACAGGTGTTTACCTGAAGAAGGGGTAGGTGTTGCTAACAACAGGGATTTACCTGAAGAAGGGATAGGTGTTGCTAACAACAGGGATGAGCCAAGAAGTGGCACACAGCACGGTTAGGCGGGTGTTGGTGAGGATGCAGGGCCGGTGGAGGGGGTAGAACACTGCGTAGAACCTGTCTATACTCAGCACGCAGATCAGGTAGAGTGAGGCTCCGTTCATTGCTGAGGATACCCAGCCTGAGGGGGGTAGGGGGTTAAGTTTCATGATGCCCATATAAGGAGATGTTAAGTTTCATGATGCCCATATAAGGAGATGTTAAGTTTCATGATGCCCATATAAGGAGATGTTAAGTTTCATGATGCCCATATAAGGAGATGTTAAGTTTCATGATGCCCATATAAGGAGATGTTAAGTTTCATGATGCCCATATAAGGAGATGTTAAGTTTCATGATGCCCATATAAGGAGATGTTAAGTTTCATGATGCCCATATAAGGAGATGTTAAGTTTCATGATGCCCATATAAGGAGATGTTAAGTTTCATGATGCCCAAACAATTATAAGGAGATGTTAAGTTTCATGAGATTAAGGCTCATGAGATTAAGGCTCATGAGATTAAGGCTCATAAAGGGTGGTTTGCTCTGGGATAAAGGTAGTGGCTGAGGGGGGTAGTGGGTGGATAATCTTTTGATTGTTCAAAAATGGAGATGGTTATGATTCAATTTAGCGAGAAGCTGTTCACATATTACGTAATCAGCTGAGGGGGGAGGGGTTTCTAAATGATTACTCTAGTGTTGTAGTCTACAGGGTTGCAACATTGTAATAATTAGGGGCCGTTCACATATTACGTAATCAGCCGAGGGGGGAGGGGTTTCTAAATGATTACGCTAGTGTAATTTTGACACGATAGCTATGTGTAAAATTGATTACGGAGGGCCGAGGGGGGAGTGGGGTTAAAAATGGGTCAAAAAGTGATTACGTGATTGGTGGGGTTTTTACAAAACAGAAAATAACTTCAATGTCATAAAAAAGCACACATTGAGTAAAAAATAAATTTCTTAAAATCTAAAAATTGATTTTTGTTTAGGGCAATCTGGCCAACGTACAGACTAACAGAGTACGATCTCTGAACAGTACATTTGATAGGAATTCTCGGAATACACCTTTAATGTTCATGGAATATTCATGGAATATTCATGGATACACCTTGTTATATGATAAGAAGATGAACATACCTGTTAGATTAGCAAGGAATGAGGTACGTTCATAACTCCCTCCGATCCAAAATGGTAACTCTCGATTACTTAGTAGTCCACCTGGAACAGAAACTAATTAGTAATTAATTAGATACTAATTAGTAATTAATTAGAGACTAATTAGTAATTAATTAGAGACTGAATATCTAATATGTGTCTGGTATATGGTTCAGGTAGTTGTAATGGTTATTGGTGCCGATAAGTATTTAATGATAGGTCACTGATGATGCTGATGCCTGATTATGGTTTCGTTACTAAATTTAGAGATAAATGCTAATTGTGAAATTAGGATATATATACTAAAGTTCTAAATAACAGATAGTGTAAACACAACGCTGCCATCCAATCTTTATCTAAAGAAACATAATTATAAAACCTATATATACATTATAAAGAGCGTGACCAGAATTTGGAATATTTTAACTAATAAATAAAAGGTCGTTTAACCATTAACTAAAAGGTTGTTTAACTAAATTAACTAAAGGGTTGTTTAACTAACTTAAAGATTATTAAACAATAATGAACGTACCACCAACTGCTGGGGCAACAGTAAGACAGGTAAGAAAGTCTGCAGCTGATATCTGAACTAGCAGGGAGGTAGTCCTAGTTTTGAACTTCTTCTTCAGAGCTATCAGGTGTACTCCCATTAGACCATTCGAGAGGAATCTGTAATGTGCTGTTATTTAGAAATTACTAGTGTGATTCTGCATTTAATATATAATTATAAATGTAGCTCATCACCAGTGTCAATAATAGGCATAAAGTGTTGAAATTAAAGTACTTTCAAACTTTTACAGATAATTTTACAGTCTTTACAAAGTTTAATTACCCGATAAGAGCGATCAGACAGAATACTGTTCCCAGTAGGCGGTCCAAGTAGATTAGGTGGTAGGGGGGCGTTGTTGCCATTCTGATTTCTGAGGTACCTCTGTTTAAGTTTGTTAACACATTTTCTCTATTTTAAATTTTTATAACTGTATTTATATTAGATTTTACAAGAAATGAAACCAATATGCGAATATCATAAAACTTTTTGTATGACCCAAAAATTGCATGTTTAACACCTTGTGATTTGCGTCATGCTAATTTTTTCTAGAAAACCATGTTATTAAACAGAATGTTTTATAAACCATTTTGCTCGACCATCAAATAACAAACTAATACGTTTCACGCAAAACACAAGGTGTTCTTTTTTTAGGGGCCAATTTTATGATGAATTTAATAAATATAATTAAACCGCAGGAGTGCGAGGCCACCATTGCAATAAATTTTTAATTTAACGGATGGCTAAATATCGAGAGATATTAATATTATCATGTAATCCAACTGCTCGTAGTTTAGAATTGAAACATCGCGTAGCCTCTATAAATGAGATAACTCTCCAATGAAAAAATCAAAAGATTCATGGTAAAAGGTACTTAACTATTCTGCTATTTGTAACAAGAATCATGTGACAATAGACATGTTCGAACAGTAAGTTTCAGCTATTTATACAAAAGTAAATTCTTGAAAGCAATTCCGTCGAAGTAAATTCAACAAAAAGGGGGTTTGTAGGTATCTTTATATGAAACTAATGCCTGAAAGATTGCTACATGATTGCTATAATAGTGACCATGAAGAAGATTGCCATATCTAATGATACCATTCAAAATATAATACGATGTTGTTACATTGAAACGTAGACTATTTCCTTTTCCTGATAAATGATCGATAAACCGTAAAAGACGTTAAACTGAAACTTAGTCTCTTGAGTCTCACCACTTTAGGGTTAGACGGGTTCCTGCTATTGGCTTATAAGTTTATAATAATATATCAATAAACTTTCGAGCGTGCTAAATCACTCTACAGTCGAGCAGTCGATCTTCGAGATTGTTCTAAAAGGGCCCCCGACAATTGAAATCAACTTCAATCGATGTATTTTCGAACGCTGATTCCGAATCATCGACGATCTTATAATATTTCAAATAAATATTGTACGGGTATGATCGGTAAATGATTGGCCTGCTTAAGAATGATATAACTATTAAATACAGAGTAAAAACTTTGCTATTTATTTTCATGCCCCTGCTTATAAACGCTCCTTATTTTTATGGGTCCTCAAAAATGTGCCTTAAAAGGAGTTGTTCCGATCCGAAGCCGAGTTGACGCATGTGGTTTGGGGTTGTAGACTTTATATAGTGTTTGTACATGAAGGCAGGCGGAAAAATAAAACTAGAAAGCTCGCTAGACGCTAAAACTTAAAGACTTTAGCTTTACTGTGACGTGGAGTATTGATGCAAAGCGGAAAACGATTTTGCGAACTGGCGCGTAGTACTACTACTACTACTAGTGCGTTGTGATACAACGCAAAAGGGGGCGGGGCCGCGGGGAAGTTACGTCAATATTAAACTCTGCACTACCAATAACCACTTATCAGTATAACTATAATATACTAATTACTATATTATATAGTTACTATATTATATTACTAGTGTAACCCGGCCTTCGGCCGGGATTTCACTGCCGCAGTTAAAAAGAGTAGGAGTATTTACCCACTGAGTCAAAACCCGCATTAGGTGAGCAATTCTATTCGGAGTGCCCTCACGTATCCAATAGTATCTTAAACAATAATCAATAGAAAGTAACCCTTATTAACTCCGTACCCGCATATTTGAAAACAATATGCATTACATTGTCGTGTGTTAGTTTGTAGCGCGATGCGTTAGTGCGTCGCGTTGTGATACAACGCACTATATACGCACTGCTTGTATCTAAGAAGGGGGCGTAGTTGGCCCGCGGGTAAGTTACGTCAATATTAAACTTTGTACTACTACTAGTACTACCAGTAACCACTTACCAGTAACCACTTGTCTTCTGACCCAACCCAGAGACACTTATCAGTATAATATACTAATATTACTATATTATATAGTTACTATATAATATTACGTTAAGTTTAACCACTTATCAACCTCAATAATAATCTGCTGATAAAACGAAAAATGCAAAAATTAAGTAAAATATAAAAATAAATACCGAATGTTTCAACTTAAACTTGAAGGCACATCTTTAAAAGCACGAACAGTACTTATTGGAACTGTACGTCCCTCCCAAACTATCGGAAATTCGATCAAATTAGGGTCCTTGACGTTTACCACAAGTGTCCCAACCAATCACTCCACGGATGAAAAGGGACCGTGTAGTCAAGCACTCAAGCTGGTACATGTCTTCACCGCATAAACATTAAACATATTAGTATTACGAAGTTGAGTACTACTTAGACTGGGGGCGGTTTATAGTACAACTTTTAGTTTAGTTACCAGAAAAGTAGTTTAATATTTTTACTTACTGGTTGACTCAACCTGTGTCCTGTATAAGTAAAAAATACTGTTTCAGGTAATTAAACTACACTTTTTATAGTTTACCTAGCAAATACTCCAGTAGCAGGGAGGTGTTGAGTGTGCACTTCGATGTATAGAGTTTTTTGCTATTGAATCGGGTTAAATAGGTCATTGGTAACTCAAATCACCGAGGGGGGAATTTTGTGTCGCTAGTCCCAACCCTGTGGAGCCACGCCCATATTTCATATCAGATGCGTATATGGGAAATATGTATCTCAGCTTCTGAAGGTCTTAGAGACTCAAATTTGAGTTTAAAATGACCGCAATACACATGTTTATATTAATACTATGAAGGTCATGAAAGCCCAAAATGCTTATTTTTGGAAAAAATTCAGAAAAACCGATTTTCACTTGAGCGTGAGTAAAAAAATCTACTCTAGAAATTTAGTGAAAATCGAGTAAGCAGTTCAGTGTCTACAAGATTTCTAAACACAGGGTCCTCTGTTAGGTCATTCTGAATTAGAATTAATAAAGTAAGCAAATTCTATAAGTAGTTTCAACCCTGTGGAGCCACGCCCATATTTCATATCAGGTGCGTATATGGGAAATATGTATCTCAGCTTCTGAAGGTCTTAGAGACTCAAATTTGAGTTTAAAATGACCGCAATACACATGTTTATATTAGTACTATGAAGGTCATGAAAGCCCAAAATGCTTATTTTTGGAAAAAATTCAGAAAAACCGATTTTCACTTGAGCGTGAGTAAAAAAATCTACTCTAGAAATTTAGTGAAAATCGAGTAAGCAGTTCAGTGTCTACAAGATTTCTAAACACAGGGTCCTCTGTTAGGTCATTCTGAATTAGAATTGATAAAGTAAGCAAATTCTATAAGTAGTTTCAACCCTGTGGAGCCACTCCCATATTTCATATCAGGTGCGTATATGGGAAATATGTATCTCAGCTTCTGAAGGTCTTAGAGACTCAAACTTGAGTTTAAAATGACCGCAATGACCATGTTTATATTAGTACTATGAAGGTCATGAAAGCCCAAAATGCTTATTTTTGGAAAAAATTCAGAAAAACTGATTTTCACAAGCAAAAAATCTACTCTAGAAGTTAAGTGAAATCGAGTGTAAAGTTCAGTGTCTACAACGTTTCTAAACATAGGATCCTTTGTAAGATCATTCTGAATCAGAATTGATAAGGTATGCAAATTCTATTAGTAGTTTTAACCCTAGGGTGCAAAACTCCTAAATTACCCCCAGGCGCAAATATATGACTTTTCTATCTCGGCTTCTGAACGTTGTAGGGGCCTCTCTTTGAGCTCAAACTAACTACATTGGCCACATTTATATACCGACTATTAAGCAACATAGGGTCTATATAGCTTAGTTTATAGAAATTCATTAAAAACTGTTTTAACCTTCATGCATCATAAAATAGTAATATGATCAAACATGTACTTAATAATGATATCTCGGGCTAAAAAGATATTTGCAGCACAGTAAAACGTTCAACATAAACACATTAGGATAACATTTATGGAGCAGCACATACCACCTAACTTTAATTTTGGTATAACTGCGAAAATACTCAGTTTCAGAAGGCTGCCTTCAGCTCCCTCTCTGGGGCTCTCTCCAGTACTGCTCGGCTATTATGGCTAATCAACTTGAATCCAACCTCATGTAGCAGAATCTACTTCTAGCTGCCTTCTGCTAACTCCAGGTCAACTCTACCCAGCTACCACCATACGTTATAATTTTAGATCTTATAACCTCTGATATGAGTGCTACCTCCGCTGCATCCAACAATTTCCAGCTCATTAAGGAAGAGGACATTTTTCTGATGGTTGCTAGATAGGGCAAGAAGTAGTCCACTAACCTAAGCTAAGATTGCTAGAAATAGCAGAAGTTGGAGGAACCTTGGTGGTAGCTAAAGAGATAACTAGCCGAAGTAGGTGAAAACAGCTGGAATTTGTGGTATAGTAGCTGGATAGAGGAAGAGGTAGCATTCATATCAGAGGTTGCTAGAAAGATCTAAAATCATAACGCACTGGTGGTAGCTGGGTAGAGACTAGAGATGATGCATGAAGGTTAAAAAAGTTTTTAATGAATTTCTAAAAACTAAGCTGTATAGACCCTAAGTTGCTTTGTGCTTTATAGTCGGTATATAAATGTGGCCATTGTAGTTAGTTTGAGCTCAAAGAGAGGCCCCTACAACGTTCAGAAGCCGAGATAGAAAAGTCATATATTTGCGCCTGGGGGTAATTTAGGAGTTTTGCACCCTAGGGTTAAAACTACTAATAGAATTTGCATACCTTAACTTCTAGAGTAGATTTTTTGCTTGTGAAAATCAGTTTTTCTGAATTTTTTCCAAAAATAAGCATTTTGGGCTTTCATGACCTTCATAGTACTAATATAAACATGGTCATTGCGGACATTTTAAACTCAAGTTTGAGTCTCTAAGACCTTCAGAAGCTGAGATACATATTTCCCATATACGCACCTGATATGAAATATGGGCGTGGCTCCACAGGGTTGAAACTACTTATAGAATTTGCTTACTTTATCAATTCTAATTCAGAATGAC